AGAAAATATGAAAAATTGAAAAAGGTATTATCAGATATTCATTATTTCCTGTTGTGCATGTGTGTGTGTGTGTGTGTGTGTGTGTGTGTGTGTGTGTGGATATTGATATTGGAGTTCTATTTTCCCAACAATTTTAAGCACTTATACAGCTCTCCTTAGCTCCTCATCTATATTTTTGAAAAATGCCCCCTCTTAATTATCCTTTAGGTTTGAATCAAATAGAACTTCCTCTGAGCAAACTTGATTCCTAGTCACAGTGAGCCAATCTATATGTACCCACAATAGTATTAATAACTAAATATTTATATTACAGAACTCCATCTATATATTTATATATTTATGTATTTGTTTTTGGATTAAAGGAGTGAAGGATGTGCCATCCTAAAATACGCCAGACTGGTATATTAATTATTTAGAGTTAAAAGCAATGGAGAAATTTTAGTTTCAGGTTAGTGAGCTGACCTGTCTCTTCCTACATGCAGCTAGCCATAAAGATTCCTCTGGGAGGGAACTGTTGCCATAGTAGGGTAAGAAGATAGCCCTTATCACCAGAGACTGGGAATTGGAGACTGCAATGGACCTAAATAAATATACTTAATGGAGTAACCTTTCTCTTCCACTAGTTTTACACCCCTGTATGTCTCCCAGTGACTCATCTAGAAAATTTACTGCCCCTAGGCAGATTTTCTTTGTCCTGTCATTTCTTCCCAAATTTATCATTCTTTCTCTAAATACCATAAAGGCATCTTGCTTTGGCCACTTCTTTGAACTTCACTCTCTTGTGAAGATCCCCAAGTACATGTAAAACTAATAAAATTTGTGTACCCTTCTCTTGTTAATCTGCCTGGTGTCAATTTGTTTTCTAGATCCAGCTGAAGAGCCAACATAAGAGTTTAAGGGGAGTTATAGGTGATCTCTGACTCCCCTACAAAACTATAATCCTAAACAGAAATTAAACTCCTTTAGGCAAAACTCTGGCATAGTTTTGGATCTGCACCATTGCCTAACACAGTCACACCACCAGGTGGATATTCAATACATATTTTATGAGTCAATGACTGAATTAAATAACTGTAGTCTTATAAAATGAAAACTGGGGTCAATTGGTCAAAATATCTAGGAAAAAGATATGTAAACTGATATACTAGAAACAATTATATTCATTGACATCCATAGATAAAACAGAAAAAAACAATTTTATAAATTCCTAACTTTCTGGAATTTTCAGAATTTCTAAGAAGTTTTTAAATCTAATGTGTATACTTAATTTGCAGAAAGTGTTTCCTTGCTTAATGAGTGTAAAAGTGGGAACAATTAAAATTGTTTAGTATCTTCTAAAATAATCAGAAAATATGTTTTAAAATAAATCTTAAAAAATTAATATAAAATATGACTGAAAAAAATAAGTCAACTTAATTCAGTGGAAGAACAGGTTTAAGATATGGCATAAATCAGTCTAATGGAGGAGAAGATAGCAATGGGAGCTCTGAAGGAATTTTAATCCCTGAGAGAGGACCACTCTGTTTTCAATGAGAGTTTTTGCCTTATGCATAACGATCTTTTTGATATCCACAAAATAATATTAATGGATAATAATTAATAAGCTATTACCTGCCAGTCATTTGAGTTCTCTAGGATAGTCCCTCCTTATTTGTGTGGGACATGTTCCAAGACCCCCAACGGATGCTTGAAACTCACAGATATACTGTGCGTAAATTTCTTTTCCCTTCTTCACAATTTCACAGATAGGAGACTTGTTCTTACCGTAGGTCTTACCAACTTCAGCCAACGATTGTTTTCTTTCCTTATTAAGTTGAGAACTTTCACCTTTTTACTTAAAGGCTTGTCTTTGGCATATTCGAATTGCCAGCATTACTACTCTTGATTTCGAGGCCTTTGCTACGCAACAGTTGATCTGAGGGCAAAAGGATGATTCATGTCCTTGGGACAGAGCAGAACAGCTCAAGGTTTCATCATGTTATTTACAACGATGTGCAATTTAAAACTTATGAATTTTTTATTTCTGGAATTTCCCATTTAATATTTTCAGACTGCAGTGGCTGTAACCATGGAAAACAAAACTATGGTTAAGAGGGACCTATTGTATATCTATTAGGTATCAGATATACATAAATTTATGAGAAAAACAAGGCACAAGAAAATGACTTCCTCAAGGACCAAAGTTCTTGGGAAGGACCAAGTCTCTTTCCTAAGAGCCAAAGTTCTTGTCACAGGAGTGACATGCTGAGGTAAAAAACTTCACACCATAAGAGTGAAACTATAATGACAATAGTGAGTCCCTCCAGTCTTGATTCCTTGTTGAATAGCAAATTACATTGGTCTGTACCCAGATAAATGGAGAAGAAGCCATATCGTTTCAACTTGTATTTAATTAGTGCAATTCTCCTTGCTGTTAATATTTATTTTATTCAAAATTTTTCTTCTTCTTATTTTTTATTTCAACATATTATGGGGGTACAAATGTTTAGGTTATATCTATTGCCTTTGCCCTACCTGAGTCAGAGCTTCAAATGTGTCCATCCCCCAGACGGTGGGCACTGCACCTATTAGGTGTGAATATACCCATCTTCTCCCTTCCCCTCCCACTTGCCGGACACCTGATGCATGTTCTTACTATATGTACATATAAGTGTTGATCAATTAATACCAATTTGATAGTGAGTATATGTGGTGCTTGTTTGCCATTCTTGGGATACTTCACTTAGTAGAATGGGCTCCAGCTCTATCTAGGATAATACAAGAGGTGCTAGATCATTGTATTTTGTGGCTGAGTAGAACTCCATGGTATACATATACCACATTTTATTAATCCACTCATGTGTTGATAGGCACTTGGCTTGTTTTGACATCTTTGCAATTGTGAATTGTGATGCTTGAAACATTCTAGTGCAGATGTCTTTTTAACATTATTGGCAACTTTATTGACGGCTGCTTGCAAGAATGACTGCCTTTGCCTGTTGGGATGACAGTTGCTCCAAGCTCTTGAGAGCCAGATAAAGCCATGGGTTCACAACAAAATATAAGCCATTCATACCATAGGCTTTGCAGGCACTAATGTGGCATTTGAATAACATTTCTTACCTATAAAATAGTATCCATGTAGTTTATAATTGATCTTGCAGTAAACAAATAACATCAAAACTGAAGTATCAGCTTCAAAGGCTAGTGTGTCTAATTTTCTTAAGTTCTTACTGATGGCAAGTTGAAGGTCAAGTATTATAACTCAAAAATTCAACAAACGGTCCTCAACTCATTTAATGAAGAAGATTATGTATCCTGTTTGCTAATTATTGATCTGAATGCACAAAATTGAAACAATATTTTGATGTACACCCAAATGCACATATATTAATAATACTTTTTTCTTTTTGCTATAGTGGCACAGATGTAATAGTATACTTAAGAAAAAGATTTTAATTTAATAAGTTTGATCAGTATCACAGTTTTTGTCCAGACATGCCAGGTTAAAAGCATAAAATCTAGTCATATTATTTGTGTGACAGCATTGATCAATTTGTTTAGCAACTGGAAAAAATTATTACTATGTATGTCATAGAGAGTATAAAGAAATAAATGAGTTTATGTACTTAGTAATATGTCTGACATTTGCAAGTGCTAACTAGATGTTAGATATTAGCGGTGTGCCTGTTTCTCTGAAGCTTTGATCTATTGTATTTTTTACCTGTTATTTCTATCATGGCTGTTATCCTGGTATAAGAAATAAAAATAACAATTAATTTATCTTCCTTATTGCTGTGATTTTGTAAATTATTAATGAAGTAGGCAAACCTATTATTTAGATCTTAATATATTTATGCATCTTACAATAAATTTTTTTCATAGAGATATAACTCTATGAATATTTACTTAGTTTTTTTCCTCTCACTAGATCTGTGTAAAGGTAAGAAAAAATCTTTTCCATCACTGAATTGTTTCTTTAGTAGACACATTCATGAATAGATAAATAAGTAAATAAATGGCATATCTGTATTTGAAACTATTTAAAACATAGGCATGTGTTAATCCCTAAAATATCATGAAGATTAAGTTCCTCAGAGAGATATCCCATGTTAATTTCTTATATTTGAATGATTTAATTTCCATATTGTAGCAGCAGAGAGTTGAGAGTAAAAGATTAAAATTATTTGAATATATTAAAATCTTATAATTAAAATTTCCATTATTTCATAAATATTTCATTTTTTTACATTTTATTTTGTAATTTACAGTAGTATGCAACTTTAAAAATAAAGCATGTTAGACAAATTTTACAAAGATAATATTGTTTGGAAGAACATTAGAGAAAAATGGACATTTAAATACTACCACAGTACAGCCAGTAATCAGTGACTTATACCGCAAGCCAAATGATCAATTATTGAGTTGAGGTTCATGTAATTAAAATAATTACAGTGCATGCTAAATTTATTTTTATATTTTCAATGAGAAATTTACTTTACAAAGAAATATTAATAGTAGTGGCATGTACTACATTTCACAAAGTGTAAAGGTCTATATTTAAAGTACAATGCAATAGAACATATCGCCTTTGGGAACTGAATTTAATGGACAGTGATACAGAACATGTAGGGATTAAAAATTTGTTATATCATTGTCAATATTAATCTTGAAAATACAGAAAAATTTAAAGTTTGAGACTCTATGTTTGAAGTACATCATAACATATGTGCCATTTAGCAGCTGATAAAACAGAACTAAAACAATTTTACCATTTCATACATTTTGAGAAAATTCTATAGGGTAAATACATTTTACTATATCTTTAAGTAAATCAATGAACAATGCCCTGGAAAAATGAGTATGGAAATGGAAGAAATGGATTGGGAAAAATATCAGATTAATTATAATGTGGCATATAAAAAAACTATATGAAAGCGAGGATATTGATACAGATACTCAGAAATTTCAAGATTGTACTTAATTGCTTTTTATAGTGTACTTTAGTTTTGACAAAAATTTCATTTCTTTGCACAAAACACAACTTTATGGACCACATCTTTGAAAGCTTGTTTTACTTGCTGGTTCCTCAGAGTATAAATGAAGGGGTTCAGCATGGGAGCAACAGAGGTATTGAGAATAGCTACTCCTTTTGTCAGTGATGCCTTTTCTTTTGCAGAGGGATTAGCATACATGAATATACAGCTTCCGTAAGAAATGGAAATGACAATCAAGTGAGAGGAGCAGGTGGAGAAAGCCTTTTTTCTCTGACTGGCAGATGGAATTTTCAAAATAGTCCTGATAATGTACATGTAAGATAAAATCACTAATGCCAAAGTGAATAGCAAACTAACCAAAGCAAAGTAAAAACCAATTATTTCTAGGAGCCATGTATCTGAGCAAGATAGTTGTAAGAGGGGAAAATAGTCACATGCAAAGTGGTCAATGACATTGGAAGCACAGTAATCCAGCTGGAGGAGAAGCATAAGTGGTGGGAAAATGGTCAGAAACCCACCCAACCAGGCACTCAGCACAAGCAGGGTGCGGAGTTTCCTGTTCATGATGGTTGTGTAATGAAGGGGCTTGCAGATGGCAACATAGCGGTCATAAGACATAGCAGTTAGAATGTAAAATTCAGTCACTCCCATGAAGATAAGGAAGAAGAGTTGGGCTGCACAGTTGTTAAAAGAAATGGTCTTATCCCTGGTGATAATTGCCCCCAGAAACCTAGGGATACATACAGTTGTGAAGGAGATTTCTAAGAAAGCAAAGTTCCGGAGGAAGAAATACATAGGCGTCTGCAGATGGGAGTCCACCAAGGTTAGGGTGATGATAGTCAGGTTTCCAGTGACACTTAAGAGATATGTGATAAATAAAAAAAGAAAAATCACAATCTGAAGGTCAGGATCATCAGAAAGGCCTAGGAGGACAAACTCTGTGATTACTGTGTGGTTCATGTCTTTCTTTGTCTCTCTCTTCCTCTTTCTCTCTCTGTCTCTCTCTCTCTTTCTCCTTTTTTCTTCTTTTAAAGATATTTAGGTAGAAAGAGAAATAAAGAGAAGAGATAAAAGATATAATTCATCCTGATTGAATATCATCATCTCATCATCATTGATACAATTCTAAAATATCTTCTATAATCTATGACAATTTTGTTTTGAATATTTTGTTTGCAGTATGCTTTAATATACATTTCTGGGTACAGCTTATATTCTAGTTCTCTTATTTTAAATCTAGCAGAAGAAGTTAGGAAATCTTTATAAAGTAAGCCACATTATGAGAGATGGTGAATAAAATCCATAAATCTTGCATTGGGCTCAATTTATGCAAAATATCATCACCTTTTTTTGTTGAAACATGAAACCCATGTTTGTCTTTCTTTTTCCATTACGTATATATTAAAGGATACTACCACCTAAAAACAAAATGGCAAAAGGAAAAATTAGAAAATTAAAGTAACAAACCCGTACTCTTTTAATAAGAAACTAAAGATTTTTAGCAAATAAAATACTTGTATTTTAATAATCAATTATATAATTTAATTATTAATTTTATTTTAAATATTAATATTTTGTTCTAATTGTCAAGATAATATGAGAACACCTATATATATTATGCATATTTACTACAGATATAGTAAAAAGGTAATTATTTTATCTAACAAATAGGAAGATATTTACTTATTCGTTTATTGGATTGTCTTATATGTCCATCAGAATCTTTAATGTTCGATGTGTTCTATGACTTACAAGAAATTTGTGTGTGTGTGTGTGTGTGTGTGTGTGTGTATGTGTATATATAGAGAAGAGGAGAGAGAGAGAAGCACATTTTTATTTTTGAGCTTAAAGGGACATGCAATATTAATCTATCTTTCATTTTTCTCTGATGCACAAATTGGAAAAATAATTACTTGCCTTAGATCTTAGCAGCAATGTCAGTCGGATTGTAGCACAGTGCATTTTCCATTTGAATATCCTCCCTCCCTATTAAGTTTTATGGAAAAATGTTTCATCCCCTAGTAATTTTATCCCACATGAGATCACTTCTCTTTATGGATCCACTCATCCATAAGGATATCCAGAAATGTATAGGAAAAACTTTCAGAGTCATCCTAACCTGTTCAGTGAATCCCTAGCTATTCAAACACAGTGCAGATATACTATTCTGTAGTTTTGGTTGCTAAAATCCTGACCACTGCTTCCTCTATATTTTAGATGGTAAAATTTCTGCTCTGAAGGATAGAATGTAAAATCATTGTTTCTCCTCCAGATACTACCAATGTTCACACTAATCAAATTTGATTTATTTTTCTCTATTTTATAATGATTAATATTTCAGGAAATAAAAATGGAACAGCAATATCTTTAGAAGATGTGGAAATACACTATGTTCCTCTTCAATGATGTTGATCTAGAAGGTCAACAAAGTAATATTTAAAGAGAAAACAGAGAGAGATATGACAATATTGGGTATTATGCCCTGGCTTCCCTCTGGTTTATTTACATCTAAAATACTTCAAGTATATTTGTTTTGACCTCAAAAGATTTCATCTCCTAGGAACACGGCACAGTCTAGGCCACATGTCTGCCATATTGTAGACCATGAGGGATTTCTAGAAGCCATTCTTAGATTTCCCAGTAGCCTCCTAACTCTTCTTCTCCATGGTCACTCTCCCTTGAGAATGGTTACATGCATCTTTGTATCCCACGAGGGGCCTAAAATGTTTTCTATAAAATATTGACTTATAGTAATTATATAATATTTCATAATTATATAATATTTCATGAGTAATAAAAATAGCTAAGAAATCTACTTTTTTATAGCTAGAACTCTTAATGTAATCAATCATTAACCATCTTTTGAAATACAAAAGTCTACATATGCCTTTTTTATTGTTTATCCTTAGGGTTTGTGAAGTGTTGGGGCATCAAAAAGCAAAAGATTATTCCATAATACTAAGTTAAAGAATAACTATTATAATGCATATATTGTGCTCACAATTTTTGAAATGCTATTACATGGGTTAACTAATTTAATTTTCATTACAAATTGTAACATTTAACTGCAATGTCCATTTTGTCTGCCATATTGTTCATCTTGGCCCTTCCATTTATTTACCACCTCTTTAATGAGAAACACCACAAAATGACAAACTTTTATTTCTGTGAAATTCTGGTTAGTAGATTATAGCTAATTATTTTCTTTAATGTTTCCCAAAGTGTTGGCAATAAAATGTATATAATCAGATAAGCCATGTATTTGATATATAATTATATAAATTAATAAAACTCATTAGGAATTACTTTATCCAAAAAAGTGCTATATACTTAATAAAATAATTAAACATGTATTTAAGATAAAGATATGATTGTGAGTCTATATGATCAAATAATATTTTATTTTCAACTTTACTGAGGTATATTTGACGGATAAAAATTTTTGTATATTTAAGGTATACAATGTGATGTTTTGATATAAATATATCTTGTGCATCAACTAATAAAACAATACTAATACAGAGCTACATCATGGCTGGTGCAAGTTTGTGAATTACTTGTTGCTAAACAAGAACTTAGTAAAGGGGCATTTTGTCAGATGTGTCTCTGCATCACAGTGAGTGTTACCCTTATCCATTTAGCTCTTATTAATTGGTTTTGTGGAAATAGTAAAAATGATGCTATGTTTTTATGATAAAATCCCAATATTAATAAGGAGCAAGAAATTCCATCACTATTCATGGAAAGCAAATGTGCAGTAGTGTCTCACTTGATTGCATCCTACCTCTATTGATTTTCTTGAGTTGCTATTTAGATTTTAGAGGCTTAATCCAGGTTTAGGTTTAGGTCTCTGTTGTTGTTGTTCAAAACTACCCCAGAAAGGGAATTAAAAAAAAAAATACTTACCAGTTAGTAGTGACCAATGGCTAGATCCATTTGTTTATAATGTGCTACAAAATGGTTATACTCTAAATCTATCATTTACCATTTGCTTATTCATTGTTATAGATCATATAGAAAAGCCCAAATGGGCCAGGCGCGGTGGCTCACGCCTGTAATCCTAGCTCTTGGGAGGCCGAGGCGGGCGGATTGCTCAAGGTCAGGAGTTCAAAACCAGCCTGAGCAAGAGCGAGACCCTGTCTCTACTATAAATAGAAAGAAATTAATTGGCCAACTGATATATATAGAAAAAATTAGCCGGGCATGGTGGTGCATGCCTGTAGTCCCAGCTACTCGGGAGGCTGAGGCAGAAGGATCGCTTGAGCCCAGGAGTTTGAGGTTGCTGTGAGCTAGGCTGACGCCACGGCACTCACTCTAGCCTGGACAACAAAGCGAGACTCTGTCTCAAAAAAAAAAAAAAAAGAAAAGCCCAAATGAATGCTACTTTATTATTTATTCAGTATTCCAAGTTGGTTCTCTAGTATCTTTTTGTACATATTATTGTAAACACATGGATTTATAATTTTTGTTTTAGTACACATTAGTGTTTGGCATACATATATATTTTTTTAATTTTTAAAACTTTTATTTTTACTTTTATTTTTTGAGACAGAGTCTCGTTTTGTTGAATCAAGATAAGAATCTGGGCACTATTTATGATGATTTTTATGAGGTCAATCATTTGTTCTAGGTATTTTCAATAGACAGTACCAGCAAACACATCATTTTTATTATAAAATAATTTATGAGTGCATACTAAAACTTTAAATTCAAATTTTGGACTGCAGGACTTTTATATACTTCATTTTAGCTTTTTATTTGTATTTCTTTTCTCTCATATTAGAATCCAGGGTATAATATTAATTTTCCTTTCTCTTTTTTCCACATTGTGCATACAACAGTATTAGAATAACACTGATAGCACTGCCACTCACAATATCATTCCTGCTAATAGTTTAAGATTTTTTAACTATTCTCCTTGTGCTTAGATTACATCCCACATCGATGTACAGCCCAATTACTGTATTATAAATCAGTTGAATAATTCTGTTCATGTGGTTACCTTAACTAATTATATACTTAATTATATTTAATTAACTTAAGTTTTATTTTTTTCAAGAATCCTTTTAAAAAAATTTAATGTATCTATAATTATTAAATATTAACATGGGTCCAAAGTCAAATATTCAAAACTAGTTAGATTTCAAAAAGTCTACCTTCAAACATTGATCCTTCAGACCTATTCCATTGACTGTAGAAAAAAATTTATATGTTATGTCTTACTGTTCCTTGTTTTTTTATTTTTAATCATAAACAATTACATGTGCAAATTAATATTTCCCCTTCTTAGAGAAATGTTTTTCCCATTTTATTTAATCAACATATTTAATATATCCTGAAGATCATGATACAAGTGTATAAATATATCTCTTATCCCTTTTACAGTTGCAGTGTATGAATATACTGTAGTTTATTCAAAAAGTCCACTAATAATGAAAATGTTTTTTCCTTCTAGTCTTGGTATTACAAATAGTCATATAATAAATGGACTTGTGAATTCTCTTTTAATAGTCATATAATAAATGGACTTGTGAATTCTCTTTTAGTATTTTTTGGCATTGTTTCCCTAAAATAATTTCCTAGAAGTGGGTTTTCTTGTCACTTAATAAAGGAATATGTGATTTTACTAGATATTATCAAATGCCCCATCGAGTGACTACTTCTCCACAGCTTCACCAACAGAAAATGTTGCCACATTTTGCCAATAAACTAAAAATAATTGATAGATCAATGCAGTTGTCCTATGGGGAGTGAGATAGAGACAGTTTTTTAAAAAAATTAAGCTCTATTTGTGTTTGTCATTTTCAAAAATATTTCATTTTGACTCTGATCCAATTTTTTATAGTTTTTTTTTCCCTCTATGTTTAGAAGGGACATAAAATATTGTTTGTAAACCAAGTTGAAAATTGTGTTCTGACACAGAATTATGTTTTTATTTGCCTATGATATCTTTGGGTATGACATTAAAGGATATTTTATTGTGTTAAGAATACTTAACATGAGCTCTACCCACTTAGCATATTTTAAGAGTGTAATACGTTATCTCTAATTATAGGAACAATGTGCAACAGATCTCTAGAGCTTATTCATCTTGCATAGCTGAAATATTATTCTCAGTAACTAGCTATTCCCCATTTCCCCCTCACCCCAGCACTTGGTAATCATAGTTCTATTTTCTGGTTATATAAGTTTGGCTCTTTTAAATACCTCATATGAATAGAGTCATGCAGTATTCATCCTTTTGTGACTGGTTTATTTATTTAGTATAGTGTCTTCAACTTTCATCTGGCCAAAAGCCAGAGAGAGATCCTTCAGTCAGAGGGGGATGAGCAACCTGAACCTCACTTCTGTCTGCTAGACTGTGGATTCCAAAATGCCCATTTTTCATGAGCAGGCTCTTTGGCACGGTGGGACATCTGCACTGCCCCTACTCCAGGATTTCCTAGCCACCTGGGAAATAATCACTGACCCCTTTTGTGATGATGTTTGTGCCAGCCTTTGGGGGGCCTGGATGCAGCCTTGCCTGACTCAGCCCCACCTGGCTTTGCCTCCATCCCATCAACCTTGGTGTGGCAGATAACAAAAAGGGGACTCTTGGGAGGTCCAAGGCCCTAGTCCAGCAGCTGGGACATCTGAGTGCTTCTTCTGATAGACTAGGGCTGGGCATAGCTCCCACAAACAGCACCATATCTAGCTCTCTCCTGCCAGCACCATCATCTACTGGCAGGGAGTTTCAACAAGTACAGCCAAATTCATTATGCTGACTCAGTTGTACAAGGCTCCACCAACTCCTACCCACAAGTGCCACCCACTGGTATGGGAACAAAACTGAATGTCCCAATGTAATTCTTATTGTTGAAGGCACAAGTCTGGGGAAAGAGGCAAGATTCTGGAGACCCCCATGACTCTCTCTCAGCAGGAGGCAGAAAATCTGCCCACACATATGGTACATCACCACTACAACCCACAAATAAGTAACATTGAGAAAACCATCAAGCTGAAGCTCTCTATTACTAAGGGATTTATTCAGAGCTTTGACCAGATGAAAGTACACACAAACAAAGCCAAAGGTTCTTACCTAACATACACTATAGTTCCATGCTTAAGAGAGGGAAAAAAGTCACACCTAAACAAAAGTAAAGTCAAAAACAAGAAGTGGCAGCTTCTCCACATGAAAAGGAACCAATGTAAGAACTCTGGCAGTATGGAAAAACAGAATGTAACAAAACCCCCAAAGGATAACACTAGCTCTCCAGCAATGGAATCTAACCAAAAAGGAATTTTTGAAATGTTAGATAACAAATTCAAAATATGAATCACAAGTAAGTTCAAAGAGATCAAATAGTAAGTTGAAAACCAACACAAAGAAATAAAAATGATAATTTAGGGCCTGAATGAAAAATTTACTAAAGAGATTAATATTTTTTAAAAAACAATGGAACTTCTGGAAATGAAAGACTCAACTAAGGAATTAAAAAATATAGTTCAAAGCTTTAACAACAGAGTAGACCAAGCAGAAGAAAGAATTTCAGAGATTGAATATAAGGCATTTGAATTAACTCAGTAAAAAATAAATTTTTAAAAATCAAAAGAAATGAATAAAATATTCAAGAAACACACTATTATGGAAAATGCCCAAACACAATAATTATAGGTATCCCTGAGGGAGAAGAAGAAATAGCAAAAAGCATGGAAATCCTATTTGAGGGAATAATGAAGGAAAATTTCCCTAGTCTTGCTAGAGTTTTAGACATCCAGATATAAGTCAAACTCCTAAAAGATTTATTGGAAGAACTGAAAGTAGATCTACCACTCAATCCATTGAAATTATGAGAACACACACATCTTGCCTAAATTCTCTAGACACTTATTAATTAATGTGTTATGTAGAATGTAGCAAAATTTTGGAAAATTTGCCTTGTTGTGAAGTTTTATTTGCTACAAAACTTAACCTTAAATTATTTTGTTCAGGTATAAAATAATTCGGATGCATGCACTGTTTCAAAGTAATCCAAATCTCTTTGAAAAAGAGATCTATGAATTATTTTTTTAAGCTAATGATAGGCAGAAAGGAACTTAGTTTCTACTTAATTGCAGTTAATGAATTTTTCTTAGGAATTTAAAGTGTATTTGCTATTTTTAATGAAATCTACATATGTATGCATGTATCTATCTATCGATCCATCCTCTACTACTCTATATAGAGAGATATTATAGGATTCAGAAATATGGAGACCTACTTAGACTTATACCTAAAAAAGTGCATACTGATAATGGCATATATTTCTTTACTAATGGGTTAATTCTGTGAACATACTCAATTCAATCATAATTAAAAATATTTCTTGTTTTTCAAATAAATGCATTTACCTTTTTGTTATATTAGCTGGTGTCTTTTCACATATTTCCTAGAACATCTATAACAGAGAAAGAAATTTCCATAAAAATAGGTGAAAATTGTAAAACCATATTTTCTTTGTATACCACATGAAATACCAATATTTATAAGCCATTCCAACATGTATGGTTATCACTTTATTTCCTGAATAAAACTGATGCATAATTTTAATTATAAAAATATTATTGAAGAGTTTGTGATTTAAAAATTATTCAAAGGAGGGAGTCAGAATGACACAAGACAAGAGTTTTAAATGGAATGTGACATATATAAACAGATATGAATGAAAAATGTTAGAAAAAAGAGTTGAACAAGGAGGTAGAGGAGCCATTTTGATTAGAAGAAGCTGTTTAAAACTCATATTTATGTTTTAGATTGCCCCTTAGTGTGCCCCTAATCCATCACAGTGCATCATTTTATGTACTTGTGAAAAAATCCAGTTTTCCCTGCCATGTTCATGATGGCTTGCTTGACTTGCTGATTCCTTAGGCTATAAATAAAGGGGTTCAGCATGGGAGCTATTGAGGTGTTTAGTACAGCAACTGCCTTGCTCAAAGATACTCTATCCTTTGCTGAGGGCTTAATGTACATAAAAATGCAGCTGCCATAAGAGATGGAGATGACAATCATATGGGAAGAACATGTAGAAAAGGCCTTTGTCCTCTGACTAGTAGAAGGAATTCTCAAAATCGTTTTCATGATGTGCATGTAGGACAGAAATATTAATGCCAAAGTGAACATTAGAGTAAACACAGCACAGGAAAACCCCATTATCTCCAGGAATTTTGTGTCTGAACAAGAAAGTTGCAGCAAGGGAAAATAATCACAGGTAAAATGGTCAATAATATTAGATCTACAGTAATCAAGCTTTAAGAGTAACATGAGTGCTGGGAATATGATTAAGAATGAAACCAGCCAAGAAGCAAAGACGAGCAGTGTACAGATTCTTCGACTCATGATGACCGTGTAATGTAGGGGCTTACAGATGGCAACATAGCGGTCGTAAGACATGGCAGCCAGAAGATAAAATTCAGTGACGCCCAAAAGAATAAAAAAAAATAACTGAGTTATGCAATTATTAAAGGAAATGGTTTTATCTCCTGAAATAATGGTACCCAGAAACTTGGGTATACTGACAGTTGTGAATGAAACTTCTAATAAGGAGAAATTCCTGAGGAAGAAATACATGGGGGTCTGGAGGTGAGAATCCAGCAGGGTAAGAGTGATGATGGTCAAGTTCCCAGTGATGCTGAGCAAGTAGGTGATGAGCAGAAAGACAAAGATCACAACCTGCAATTTTGGGTCATCTGACAATCCCAGGAGAATAAACTCTGCTATTTTTGTATGGTTTCTCATTCTTCAGTTGCTTATTTTTTTTCATCTGCCAGACCTATAGGAAAAAGCAAAAAGAACAAACTTGAAGAGTTGTGGATTAACAAATATCCAAGTATGGGGCTAGAATTTGTCTGGAACAGTGTGCCATATTCATCTTAAGGGAAAATTAACAGCCCTTCAGGTATGATTACAATGATCCTTTAATTTTCTCTCTTTTACAGGTAAAAAAAACTCCTTAGTTAAAGCAGGTTAAAACGGTTCAGTATCACACACTTTGAAGTGGTAGGGCAGGGATTTGTCATCAGAATTTTCTGACTCCAAATACTTCCTGTTACCTTTCTGAGACATGCCTACAAGGGCCCTTCCCAATGAGGACCACATTTGTGTCATTGCACCAATCATTGTACAAGTTTCCCCTTTATATAAAAGCCTAATTCTCAAAAATGGGAAAGATACTTGATTTATTTTTACAATGAATATTTCATCCTTAGCTATGTATCAACTTGTGCTACACTTAGCTTTTTCAACTCCTGCTACTACTTCCTTTGAAAGCAGTGATACTGAAGCTATTGCTATGAGCAACTTAAGATGTTAGGGGTAGAAGAGAGAAAGAAGTAGAAAACAATGTAAGCTAGTAAGGACTTAAAACTGAAGTTTATTGCATGTGAATTCCTTGCAATATTTAATGATCTTGCAGCCTACCTATGTATCACTTTTAAGACCTTTATTCTTATACAATCTATTTTGTCATCTAGTTCAAATAATACATGTTATTATTATTAGTGTTTGAGAAGAATGTCCTCAGTTAAAGAGATAGATAAGTGCTCCCCAAGAAAGCTTGTTTAATAACTTAATTTATTTATTTGCACTTTTAAAAGGTAAGTTTCATTTTTCTGAATAAAGTTTAAGTGATATTGGCATAGATATTTCCATAGGAAAGAGTGAGGATATCTAGTTTTGAATTCAATCCACTTACTAGGAATGAAAATTATTTAACATATCTGTGCCTCAGTATCCTCATCTATAAACACATGCTTTCTTCCTCTGTACATAAGTTCATTTTATAAGCTTGCTGTGAGCATTAAAACTGTTAATATATGTGAAGCATTTAGAAAAATGCTTGATAGTTAATGAAGGCCATAAGAAGCTTTGTTCTATGGGGAAAATGTTCCCTAACCCCTAATCTGAAAATCTCTGGATTAGAATGGTGTCCTACATATAAGGCTATGTCTTAGATAAATAGTAATAAATATATTTCACACCAAGAGAATCACATAAGAACAATAACAACAAAGAAACAGGGAAGAAGTCACTGGGTTGTACAGTACCTGTCAGGCATTCTAGGCGAGTGAATCTTACCTTTGTCCTTCTTCCTTGTGTACATGGTGCTGACCTCTCCCTTCATGGTGTATCTGCCTCTTCCACCTCATCAGCACCCCCAAACACACACACACAGACACACACCCCTAATATTGTGGGTAGCACATTGTAATGACATCCCAAATCACCTACTTTCTTATCGTCACAACACTGTGTTTAAGACCCATTGTATGCATTCCCTAAGAACCTCATACTCATTCTTCCCAACCCATCCCCCTTGTACTGTACTAAATTCCCCTGTGAATTCCTCTATTACTCTGTACGTTTTTGAGGGTTCGAACAGGATCTTATCTTCAAAGCTGTTTCAATATAATCCCGTGCTTAGTATTGTTATAGTGGGTTTAAAAAGAACATTCATTTAATTGATTAATTAATTAGTTAATTAATGTTGAGTTTGTTGTTGAATCACATGTTGCCATCAGTTAAAGTTTTATATTTCCTGCTAATATTTTAGACTAGATATTGCTTAGGTTTTTATCTTTGTTTTACAAGATATATTTTCTTGCATTATATATTTTATGAGGTGTGTTTACACACTTGGCCCAAATTCCTTGTATACAGTAAATGTAAAACAAAAGTTAATGCTTTTTGTAACAATCTGGATGGAACTAGAGACCATTCTTCTAAGTGAAGTATCACAAGAATGGAAAAACAAATACCACATGTACTCACTATTAAATTGGAACTAATTAAATCAATACCCACATGTACCTATAATAGTAAAATTCAACAGAAACCAAGGAGGTGGGAGGGCAGAGGAAGGAACAGGTAAACTCACACCTGATGGGTACCTAAGCAAGCTACGTTGGTGATGGGCACACATACAACTTTGACTCAAACTGCACAAAAGCAAATCATGTAACCAAACATTTGTACCCCCATAATATTCTGAAATAAAAAAAGAAAAAAAACCTCAAAGGGTATGTAAAGTAAACCACATTTTATTTATAAATAAAGGTAGAACAAACTTCATAAAGTATTATTTCTAAATTACTTTCCTTAAATTTCTTTACAGTTCATCATATCAATTCACTTTACTCCTGCCCAGTACCATCACTCTTATTACATCAGGGTTTATTTTTCATTAAAATCCCAAGTTTTTCATAACACCTTGAAGTTACTACATTTTCATCATATAGATAAGATTCAGTTTCAATTTTGCAGGTGAATTTTCAGCAATAACTTACTGACCTCGTAGTCTCAGAGTTTTAAAAATATATATTATATTATTTCTTTTTTTTTTTTTCTGAGACAGAATCTTGCTCTGGCACCTGGGCTAGAGTGTGGTGACATTAGCCTAGCTCACAGCAACCTCATATTCCTGGGCTCAAGCAATCCTCCTGCCTCAGTCTTCTAAGTAGCTGGCACTACAGGCATGTACCACCATGCCTGGCTAATTTTTTGTTTTACGTTTTTTCCTGTTTTAGTTGCCCAGCTAATTTTTTCTATTTATTTATTTATTTTTTTAGTAGAGACGAGGTCTCACTCTTGCTCAGACTTGTCTCGAATTCTCGACCTCAAGCAATCCTCCTGGCTTGGCCTCCCAGTCTTAGGATTACAGGCGTGAGCCACCATGCCAGGCTGTATTGTATTATTTCTGTTCTATAGTGACTGATGTACCAATGCACTGTATTACTAACCTTATTTCATCTTTTTTGCATATCTATTTTCCTCTTAAATTTCCTGTTAGTTTTAACACTTTTCTGAATAATAATGTCATGACTCACTCTTTTTGCTACTGATCGCAGCTCTGATGGAATGTAGAAAGAGCTGTGAAGGAAGGTATAACTAGGTATTGGAAGGGTTCATGTGGGTATCCCCCAAATGAACTGTATTCAAAATCCAAGAAACTTTAGCAATAGCTGATCCAATATCAAGAATTGGGGGTGATATACTATGCTTTTATATAAAAGTGTTTATGAAAATTCATTGAATTATATTCATATATCAATGTAAAACAAACTTGATAAAATTTATCAGTGTGTATAGTCCTGAGGAAATTAAACTGCAATATTTAACATGGCATACATGCTTTCTAGAGCCTCAAAAGATCCCAAGGTTATCTTGGTATAGAGATCCAAGAATATCTCCAAGCATCTAACTCATCATTTCAGATTTTTATTTTTGAATACAGATCCATGTTTTCTCCTGGAACAACATTGCTTATGTTATGAAGCTTTCCTTCTACTCATTTCATCCAAACTACTCCTTACTTGCTTTCTAAGGATTCTTGCGACGTATTCTTAGAGGCATTCAAAATGAAAATTAACAGTGATATTTAATATTTGTTAATGACGATGGCTATGAAACATCTTCAGGGCTTTCATTCTCAAAACATTCCTATATACTGCCCTTCCTATGATCAAATAAATACTAATAACAACTTTCTAAATAAACTACATAAAACATTGACAATTTCTTTGATGCCTAGGTGAGAAAGGGACATTGTATTAAAGGTTTTGTGAAGTATGGAGAATCTAGGTACAGGGCTTTGAAAGCCTGAGATAGAGACCTTAACTGGTTCCATTTTATTTCTTATGTGTGTGTGTGTGTGTGTGTGTGTGTGTGTGTGTGCGCGTGCGGCGCGTGTCCATACCTTTTTTTTTTTTTTTTTTTTTGAGACAGAGTCTCACTTTGTTGCCCAGGCTAGAGTGAGTGCTGTGGCATCAGCCTAGCTCACAGCAACCTCAAACTCCTGGGCCCAAGCATTCCTTCTGCCTCAGCCTTGGTGTAGCTGGGACTACAGCCATGCACCACCATCCCAGGCTAATTTTTTCTATGTATATTTTTAGTTGTCCAGCTAATTTCTTTCTATTTTTAGTAGAGACAGGGTCTTGCTCTTGCTTAGGCTGGTTTTGAACTCCTGAACTCAAGCAATCCACCTGCTTCGGCCTCCCAGAATGCTAGGATTACAGGCATGAGCCACCACGCCAGGCCTTGTGCTTTGGATTTAATGATTTTTTTGTGTGTGTTTCAGTGTGTTGAAACCTCCCTTAGTAATGCAATTACTTTGAAGGTCTAATTTATTTCAACTCTTTCTGTATTTACTCAATTCTTTCTTCTTCAGTTAAACCTTTTTAGAGGTCATTAGAAAAATTTCACAGGTCATATTTCAAAAATGTGTATTTTGTTTATCTCATTACCTTATTTTTTAAGTTTTTTATGAATTTAAAGAAATTGAGAGTTTAGGTTAATACATCAGAGAAAATAAAAATTATTTAGTTTAGTGTTATGAGCAATAAGTAGCTCAGCTTCATAATCACACTAAAATACACTTCTGGCACTGCTCAATCATTGCAGACTGTGGGGCACGGCACAAGAATTCCTTTGAGACCTTCTGCTGGCCTGAGTAAAACAAAGACTCCTCAGGAGAACCACTGAATGGTTGGAAGAATTTTTTATTGTTGTTTTCAAACTGTTTCGATCATTTTTATAATGATTTTTGATGACTCTTTCCCTGGAGAAATATAAATAATTAATATATCTTCATTTCAATAATAATAGGCAGTTTCAATTCTCAGCATTCTTACCCGTATGCATAGAAACAAATTAAGGGAATAGTGAAATCATCAATCACACTTAATAAATATTCCATAAATAGTAACATTCATGCTGAATATCTACTCATAATATCATGTTTTCAGTTCATTAATTATCCATTTACAATTTGAACAAGGAAGAAAAAGAAAATAAATTAATAATAAACTTATGCTATTGGAACACTATTTCTTATTTATGACATTAAAAGGTCAATTTATTATCATAAAAAGCATACAGAATTTGCCATTAGAAAGGCCTGAATTAAAAATACAAATGGTCCATTTAGTGGATTTATGAGTTTGTATGCATTGCTTAATCTCTTTAAACTTTTCTGTGTTTAAAATAGAGTCTAAATTTCAAGAGTGTTTTTGAGAATTGATATAAAGTAAATATGTTTTTAATGAACCATGTGGCACTTAGTAGAATGCTGTATTATTCTAAGCATAGCTGTATTATTTATTTTATTTTTTCTTTTAGTTGGAATTAATTCCCAACTCTGGGAAGGATATTCATAATAATTGTGATTTATTAAAGGTGCTATTCTAATGACAAATGACTTTAATATTTCATTTCATTTAGCTTATCCCTTATAACACACTTATGAAACTTTCATCCTTACACTCAAATGAAAAACTGAGATTCAGAGAGATTATGCTACTTAATTCACATAGCTAGGAAATGTCAAATATAATCTCAGACTAAAAATTAAAGGATCTTCTCTTAAACATGGTACTACATAACCTGTATTCAATTAAAAACACAGAGATAGTAATTTCCTGCTTTTAATTAATAGGGAATGAATAATTTGATAGAATAAAACACTAATCCTTTTTATATATTTTAATGTCAAGTTTCAAAGTATAACCCCCCAAATTTCCTATTTAATTTGATGAAAAGTTGAGCTGTTGAGTAATGAAACAATGCTAAGATTTGCAAGACTTCCATTGCCTTCTATGCGTCTAACTTACCTTGGACTTTCATATAGTTTCAATAATACTCGGAATGAATGGAGATTTAAAAAGTTTAGCAAGTATCATTGTTGTAATCCAAGGAAACCAGCATTTCTGAAAACATTATTTCTGTTTCCTATTGAACAAGTTTGCTTCCTGTTGTCATTGCTTTTGTCTTAATTTTCTCATTCTATCCAGAGTTCATATATTTCTCTGACTAGAGAGTGGGAAAGGAATAAAAATGTAAAGTAGGAAAAAAGTATCATAAAGTATTTTAAGACTGTCTGGCATGGTTTCTACATAGATTTGAAGTAGCACAAGCTACTTAATGTTTTATCTATTCTCTCTGCCTCTGGCCCAAGGGACTAATTCAGTGAATCAAAATTGCCAGAATAAGAATGTACACAAAACACTAAGGAATATAAAATGTAATACACATTAGTATTTAAATTGAAAAAGGAAGCTTGGGGGACAGTGTCCAATGAGACAGAAAAGAAAATAATAACAAACAATAAAACTAACTGTCAAGGTTTTTTCCATGGACATCATTTTTTCAGGCAGAAATAATAACCAAATATCTTATTTCCTAATGCAGATCGCTAATAATATGATGTTTTAAAAACTGGCAATCTACAACATTGTACTGAATACATCAATTTTCTATTATTTTTAATCTGCCTTCTGATAACTTTTACTACCATAAAACTGCTAACTATATATATATTATATGTTATATATATTATTTTCTCTCTCTCTCTCTCTATATATATATATATATATTTTCCTGCTCATTCTATTGCTTACCAGCAACGGCAGTTGAAGATTTCTTGTTCTGATTGATTAGTGTTATAATTTATATGCCAAGTATAATTTTAGGAGTTAGTACTTTTTCTGACTAGGCTATACTAGTATAATCATGCCAAATGGGATAATATCACTAAAAATAAGCCTGTAAAATTGTGCAGGTCTTTAGTAAAACCTATGCAAAATTTGAAGGTCTTCACAGAATTTCCCCATTGTATAAAAATACTGCAAAGACTAGCGTTTGATTTTTTTTTTTTAATTTAGGCTATCATATTGGCTACTATAGCTCAGTGACTTTAGGCAAATTACCAATATTTCTGAACATTAATTTACACATCTACAAAAAAGAGATAACCATGTCTATGTTGCAATATAGCTATAAAGATTAAATAAGATACAGTAACAGACATATGTATTCCAGCATATGGCACAGAAGAAGTGCTCTCTATAGAAGAGCTAGTATTTAGGAAATTCCTTTCCTATTTTCAGGTTACAAAAGAATACTGATGACTGCCTAAATATTTATCTTTTTTATTTCCAAAAATAAATACCTATGAATAAGGAGAACACATAAGACTAGACATAGCACATGCCTCCAGCATAACTAGGAAATAGAAAATATCATGAACTTCAAATTACTGTTAAGTAGGAAAATAAATATCCAAGTCCATTAGAGGAGTGGGAAGAATCAGACAGATATGCCAAGAATATGTTTGTTGTAGATATTTATTTCATATATTGTAGAACTTTTAAAAATAAATTGTTATATTAGCAAAACAGAAGAGAAATTTTAAGATTAAGTATATTGAAAGTGTTTACACTTTTAAACCATTATGATATAAATCATCTTTACTATTCAGAATAACCAGCAAAGTGGTTTATATTCTAGAACCAATGGTTTTTCATTCAAAATTATAAATCAGTGATTACATTGAACCTATGGATAGTTTTAAAGGAAGACACAATTTAGTCACCTTCAGGTTAAAAAGAAAGCTGAAGATGAGCTCAGTAATGCAAGTACTGTAACTGTGAGAGGGAGGTGGAAGGAAGAAGAGAAGGTAAAATTTCAGTTTTCCTTTCTTAAACCTTCACAATGGCATTCATTCATGTGAACATATGTTTTCATTTGTTTCTATGAAACACTATTTTATGAACCAAGATTTTGAAAGCTTCTTTTACTTGCTGGTTTCTCAGGGTGTAAATAAAAGGGTTCAACATGGGGGCTATTGAAGTGTTGAGAATAGCTACACCTTTGGTCAATGATGCTCTTTCTTTTGCTGAAGGCTTGACATACATGAATATGCAGCTTCCATAAGAGATGGAGATGACAATCATGTGAGAGGAGCAAGTGGAGAAAGCCTTTTTCCTTTGACTGGCAGATGGGATTCTCAGAATGGTGCAGATGATGCATATGTAGGACAGAATCACTAATGCTAATGTGAACAGTAGCGTAACAAAAGCAAAGTAAAAACCAATCATCTCTAAAAGCCATGTGTCTGAGCATGAGAGTTGTAAAATGGGGAAATAGTCACAAGAGAAGTGATCAATGACATTGGAAGCACAAAAATCCAGCTTGAGGATAAGCATGAGTGGTGGGAAAATGGTCAGAAATCCTCCCAGCCATGAACTAAGGACAAGCAGGGTGCAAATTTTCTTGTTCATGATGGTGGTGTAATGAAGGGGCTTGCAGATGGCAACATAGCGGTCATAAGACATGGCAGTCAGAAGAAAAAATTCAGACACACCCATGAAGATAAAGAAAAATAGTTGAGCTAAACAGTTGTTATAGGAAATGGTCTTGACTTTAGTAATGAGTGTCACCAAAAATCTGGGTATGGAAACACTGGTGAATGTAATTTCTAAGAAGGAGAAATTCCGGAGGAAGTAATACATAGGAGTCTTTAGATGAGAGTCTGTTAGGGTGAGGATGATGATGGTTAGGTTTCCAGCAACACTTAATATATAAGTTATAAATAAAAATATAAAAATTACAACCTGAAGCTCTGGGCGGTCTGATATGCCCAAGAGTACAAATTCTGTGATCATTGTGTGGTTCCTCATAATATATTTTTTTCTTTCAACAAAATCTATTGGTGAAAAATAACAAAAATGAATAAGTGAAATGTGAAGAAATTGAAATTTTAAATGTTGCAATTAACAGCTCCAATGAAATAAAGCAATGGATCTTTATCTTTGTAAGAGTTTCTGCAATATCTACTCATTTCCATTAAAGAAGAAAACTTGTATGCATCCTCTACTGAAAGGAAACTTGTATTCATAGATCTATGTTAAAAGTCTCCTCAACAGTTATTTTACATAAAGCCTCTACTAATAATCAGATTTTCTATATGTGCTTGTATCTATGAATTATACACCTCTGCAACAATATTTTTGAATTATGTCTGTAGTTTGGATATTGAGACATTTTCAGCACACAAAAGATTGTGTGTTTTTAGGAGTGAAATATCTAATCTTTAGTTTGAATTCTGATGTCATTTGCAAACTTACATATTTTATTGGTGGAAATTGATGACCTAATCACAATTCCTGAGATTACTAGAACTATGATTATTTTTATCCTTAATATATATTCTTTTAAATATGACTGACAGAAATAAATGTGTTAGAAATCACAGAATATAGTTAGTAGAGTTTCTGTGGTTGTAAACAAGAGAATTCTTAATTCATGGAAAAGAAAGCAGAAGCCAGAGAAATTAATTAATGCATAGATAAAGCTCAATAATATAGTTCTACAACATACTAATCAATTCATATCATTTTTTTTTTTTTTGAGACAGAGTCTCGCTTTCTTGCCTAGGCTAGAGTGAGTGCTGTGGCGTCAGCCTAGCTCACAGCAACCTCAAACTCCTGGGCTCAAGGGATCCTCCTGCCTCAGCCTCCCAAGTAGCTGGGACTACAGGCACGAGCCACCATGCCCGGCTAATTTTTATATATATATATTAGTTGGCCAATTAATTTCTTTCTATTTTTATAGTAGAGACAGGGTCTCGTTCAGGCTGGTTTTGAACTCCTGACCTTGAGCAATCCGCCGGCCTCGGCCTCCTAGAGTGCTAGGATTACAAGCGTGAGCCACCGTGCCGGCGGAATTCATATCATTTTTATGTTTGTTATTTAAATTATAAATTGACCTTTTTTTTTTTTTTTTTTTTTTTTACTAAATTCACTTAGTCTTTTTACTTTAAAAAATACCTGAGGACAAGAAGGAACTCATACGGAGTTTTTTGATACCAAAATATTGCATTGACTCCTTCTTGAAACTAAATAACTAGAATAAATAAAAATTTCCTTTAGGATTTACTTTATTAGAAACCACAATGCTCTAAAATGTAATCTATGTGACCTTCATCTGTCTTGTTCTCCCTTTATTCTTAACAAACAGCATTCTGCCTGTGCTATAAGTTCAGTATTTGTCGTATTACTTTCTTTTTATAGCATGAACAGGGTCATTCAGGTGGTGATAAGGATCGAAGCTGTTATTGTGCATTTTTTCTCCTTTTTATTTTATTTTTCTGACAATCAGCATCTCTTCCCTTAGGAATATGCACATTTTTCGTCATTAACATATCAGCAAAACTGGTAGAACAAAAGGCAGAGATTTTCACTATGGTTTTAACAATGGCTGGAACACTTTAAAATGTAAAATAAATAATAATAAATATATTAATGATAATTTGGGGATTCCTGCAATTTATTCCAACAAAATAAACTTTTGGCTGGGAGAAAGACAAAAATTTATCCATTTGTCAATTTATTGACAAATATTGAACATACATTCTGATATATCTGATGATACCAATCAGAAATATATTTGTAGATTTAATCATTGATTTACTTAAAATATGAAATTTAGTGCATTTGAAATAGGCTTAGGGAGACTGTTTTTTGTCATTTAGTTTACCCTTTCCTCTGTCTATTATATGAAAGCCTCTCATATTGAGAATATTGGTTGAATTGCATATAAGATTTTTAATAGCCTGTATTTTCATTAATGCAAAAAATCAATTCCTCTTTTATATTTCTATGCAAACATAAATATTGCTCTGTTCTGAACTCCAAGAAGCTACTATTACAATCCTGAGAGTTATTTTAAGTTAATTTCTAAGGGATACCTATTTAAGAAATAGGAATGTAAAACATCTCAAAGCTCTCTGAATAAGATAAAGATTGAACACTACATAGAGATAACATAAATTTTACCTTCTCTGGTCACCATATAAATCCCTGAGAAACTAAAGTGAAGAACAGAAGGATGCAAAGAGAGATCAGTTCACCAGATATAGTGATGTCATGGCATACCTTTCTGGAAAGACAAGCAATATAGCAAGATAAACGCACAGTGTACCAATGAGTGTACACAGTCAACGAGGTTTCCTTTGGCTGTACTTAATTTTCTTAATATGCACATGGCACTCAGTCTACACTCAGGAGATAATTTATTCTCAATTCCTTTGGGATTGGTTAAATCCAGGGCTGAACTACTCCACAGTGGACCTTTCTTTGAGGGTAGTACCAGTGTTTTTTTTATTTATATATCTCCACCAGCACAGACCAGAATGAATAACTAAAGAAAATATTTTAATATCTTCAAAAATCAGAAAAGTACTTGAAATTCAGCTTTTCATTTTTTAATTTTAAAATTAACATATACTTAAGGTTATGAGACAAGTGTCACAGTAGTATATAGTGACATATGGAATGGCCCTATATATCCAACCAATCTCCATTTTCCCTCAAATCTTCAAATATACCAGTATTAAATATTTATAATGTATTTTACCAGATATTTTTTCTATATATTCACCCACAAATACAGTCACATTTACACACTCAAAGAAAAGTTTTTTTTTTTGTACAGCAATGCAATTTTACTACACAAAATATTTTGCAATTATTCTTTTTTTTTCCTTAGTTAACAACACATAATGGATAACATTCCTTGTCAAACTATCCAAACAGAAATCATGCTCTTGTAACAATTGCATAGAATACCGGGGGGACTTACATACTTTAAGAATTTCATTATAGATTAAGTCTTATGAAATTATGTTGTTATCATTTTTATTTTTTTTTTATTTTTT